GGTTATCGGCGGCCGCGGCGGCGAAGTGCCTGTCGTTGTTCACTCAGTCTCGTGCGCCCGCGCCCGCTGCCGCCGCCGTCGCAGCAGCAGCAGCATCCAGAGCGCACTCGGCGCCCCCCCAGGCACGAGGCGGCGCACCCGCCGACGCGCTCCTCGTCGAGGCGCTCGTCCTGCGCACGTTCGAGAGACGCCTCGCCGAGCGCATGGCGCGATTCCGAGCTGGTAGCGGCGCGGGCAGTGTTGCGGTTGCGGGTACGGGAGGGGCGGCGGGCAGGTTGGGCGACTCGGGGGGAGTGAGCGGGTTCAGGACGGCGAGGGAGATGTGGTTGTGGTGTGCGGTGAGAGGGTGCAGGGTCAAAGAGAGGGAGGAGGTGCGGGAGGAGGGAGGAGAAGGTGCGTCTGCGCGCTCTCTCTCGAGGTCGAGCGGCGCGAGCGAGCGAGTTGGGCCGCATCGCGTTCGCGATGGGGCGAGCGCGATGCGCTCCTGTGTCTTGCGTGAGCCGGCTGACACTGTCGCACGTCCCGCAGCGCACGACCCTCTCCCCCTCGCGCCTCACCCACCCTCAGCCCGGTACCTTCGCTCCTCCTCGGCGCCCTACTCCTTCCCCTCGCCGTCCTCTCGAGCCGCACACCCCCTCCTCTCGCGCCCCTCCCTCGACCCGCCGCACCACCCGCCTCCTCCCACCGCCCGCTCCTCCTCCTCCTCCTCCACCTCGTGGCCCACCACTCCCGAGCCGACGACCCACCCAGGCGCGTTCCACACCCGCATCCGCCTCCCTCGCCTTCCGAGCCGCGCCGTCGTGCGCCCCGTCCCGGCGCCCTCCGCGTCCCCACCCTCCTCGGCCTCGCCCGCCGGCAGCTCGGCGCAGCCCTCGCCCTCGCCCTTCCACGCCCCCTCGCCCTCACCCTTCAACACGACCTCTTCGACGCGGTTCGGCGTCCGTCTCCCGCGCGCGCCGCCGCTCACGCTCGAGCCGGCGGGAGCGGGCGCGCCCAGTTCTGGCTCTAGCGCGGGCTGGGGCGGCGTGGCGGCTGGGCGCCGCGGTGACGGTGGGACGACGCGGGCCGCGAGAGGGCGGTGAGCGGTGAGCGGGACGCGGGCGTGCGGCAAGGGAGGACCAGGGGGACGAGGTGAGGTGCACGGCGAGAAAGCTCGTTTACCGACGCCCGGGCTTTCGTAGACTTGCTCCCTCTCGCCTCTCGGTTCTACATATGGTTCTCCTATCTCTCTCGTGCACAGTACCCAATGCGTCTGATGCAACTAGTCGCACTGCAAACGTCGCGGCCGAAGAAAGCACGGCTCGAGAGAACGAGAGCCGCAACTTGAGAAGGTCGACTCGAGCTTCGCAGCTCGCCCGTCGAGCAAAAGAGGACGTTCGAGGTTGCGAATGCGAGGGATGGCACGCAGCTTCACTGCAGAGTGTGCGAGTAAGAAGGAAGGAAGCCGCACAGACAGCGAGCGGCCGCCTACTTGGCGCTGCTCGTTGCGCTCGAACCTCGCTGCTTGCCTCGACCGCCTCGTCGCACATCTTCCTCTCCTCCTCGCCCTCTCTCTTTGTCCCGAGCTTGTCTCACTGGAACCCGAGGCTAGTTAACGCCGACAAGGGAGCGACGAGAGAGCGCGACTCGCAACTCGGGAAGGCCAGCCGGGCTCGTGCGTCGAGGGAGCGCTGCGCGCGCTGGCCTCCGGCCTTCAGTGCCCGCACTTACTCGCTCTCGTCTCGCTGGCGCAATCGTGGCGAAGGAGAGAGAGAGAGAGAGCCAAAGTCTGGATGACAAGGAGAGAGCGTCGCACGTCTGCTCGAAGACGGAGAAATCTACGAGCAAGAGGAGCTGCCGCCCGCAAGCGGGACAGACGAAAGAAGAGGAGAAGAGAGAGAGAGAGAGACAGGGAGTCACGAGGAAACTAGAAGCAGAACCACCCGCGCGCCCTCCTCACGCCGCACCCGCACCCGCACCCGGACCAGCGCCGGCGCCCGCCATGGCCAGCCCAAGGAGCGCCTCGAGCTCGCTAACCCGCCTCCTGAGCAGCTCGTTCTCGCCCTCGAGCTCCTGCACGCGCGCCTGCTTGCGCGCGCGGCTCTTGCGCGCGCTGAGCGTGTTTTGCAGCCGCTTGCGCTCGACGGCCGCGACGATGTCGGCGGGCAGGTCGCCGTCGGCGGCGGCGGTGGTGGTGGTGGTGGTGGGCACGGGCGCACCGGCCTCCTCCCCGGGCCCGTCAGGCGACACGGACGCGCCGTCGCGCTTGCGCTTGGCGAGCGCCTTCTCGGCGGCCGACGTCTTGCGGCGCTTGGACGTGGCCGAGGGCATGACGCTGTGACGCGATTGGATCGGGGCGTCGAGCGCGAGGAGCGGCGGGGCGCCGGGGCGGAAGCCGGTCGGGGCGGGACGCTTGAGCGCCGTGGTACCCTTTGCGGAGACGGCGGCGGCGGCGGACGGGGGAGCGGCGAACGAGGTCGAGGGCGTGGGCGCGAGGGAAGGAGGAGGGGGGAGCGGGCGCAGGATGGTCGACGCCGGCGTCGGGGGCGCGGCGCTGAACATTGCCGCCGCCGGCAACGACGAGCTCGACGACGACGAGGGGGCAGCCGCCGCAGCGGGCAGCGGCGGGAACCAAGCGAGGGCCGGGCCATCGACCGAGGCCGACAGCGGCGCCGACGAGTACGGCGTCGAGTACGAGGCGTACGCGAGCTCGTACGGCGACGGGGTCGGGAGCGGGAGCTCGCTCATGGTCGCGCTCGGCACGGTCGAGTCGGCGCCGCCGGCGAGGCTCCCGGCGAGGCTGAACATGGGCGACGCGAGGAACTCGGACAGCGGGCTCGTCGTGTCCGAGGGAGCGGTCGACGCCGCGAGGCCGAGCGGCGACTCGAGGAGGGCGTCGAGCGACGCTGGGTCGACGGCGGGCGCGTGGTGGTACGGCGCCGTTGACGAGGGCGGGAGGTTGTCGGCGTGCGCGGCGGCGCCCATGAGGTGGTCGAAGACGGGGAAGGCGAGGAGGTCGAGCGGAGCCGACGTTGCCGCCGCGGCGGGCTCGAGGTCGAAAGGCATGAGGATGTCGCCTGCGCATGCGAGGGGAAGGACAGACGACGAGGTCAGTGCGGGGCTCGGTCGAGGCGAGGACAGGTCGGCGAGAAGGGGACGCACCAGCGTCGAACGGCTTGCTCGCAAACGCGAACGAGGACATGCTCGAGTGCTGGGGCGCGACGTGGTCCATCGAGAAGGCGAACGACGACGACGACGACGACGACGACGACGACGAGGCGAGGGACGCCGGGTCAAAGCCGAGGCCGCTCGCGTGCGGCGGCAACGGCGGGAAGAACGAGTCGGTGGTGAACGTGGACGTGGACGGGTTGGTGGTAGTGGTGGACGGGTGGAGGACGAGAGGTGGAGACACGGGCGTTGCAGGAGGGGGAGGAGCGGCTGCGGTGCCCGGGCCCGACGTCGATTCGAGCTCGTCGAGCAACTTGAGAAGGTCGTCCGGCGACAACAGGGCGGCGTCAGGTGCAGGCACACTGGCGGTGCTGCTGACCGAGGTGGCGATGGTGGCGGTGGCGGTAGTGGAAGACGTAGGGTGGTGGACCGAGTCGGCGGGGCTTAGACGACCGTCGACGGCGACGACGAGGGAAGAAGACCAAGAGCCTCGCGGTTGAGCCGCTTGAGGCGCCTGGCCGGGCAGAAATCCGTCGAGGGCGAGCACAGCTTGGTGCGCTGGAACGGGGCGGTGGTGAAGCACTGGGTCGACATCTTGGGCGGGATGGTGGAAGCGTGTGCTGCGGGAGTCGCGAGTCAGAAAGTGGGACTCGGCCGAGGTGCAGGAGGGGGGCGCGGGCTCACCTTGGTTGATGGGGAATGGGCGCGGTGGACGGGGGGTTGCGGTAGAGGCAGGCGGCGGATGCACGGCTCGGTCGGCGGTGGATCCAGCGAGAGGAGGGAGGGAGGGAGGAGGAGCGAGGTGGACCGTGGACGGGCGGGCGGGTTGCCGGCTCGAGGAGGGTGATCGAGAGAGGGGCGCGCTGGAGGGACGGGCGGCCTTGGTCGTGGTCAGGCGCACTGGGTACGCTGCGGGAGCGTAGGCGAGCTGGAGGGAACCAGCGAGAGGGGGACGAGAGGCGAGCGGGGGAGTGGTGCGAAGGAGGGAGAGAGCCACGAGGCGACGGGCAAGGTGCGTCGACTCGACTTGTTTCGATTGCGACCGAGAGCTTTCCCCACTCGCAAGGGCCACCGCGCGGTGCCCGACAGGGGCTCTGGTTGCGTGCCGGGCGTTGACTCAAAAGCGCGAGGAGCCGCCGCGCGATTCGCAGGTCCGAGCGCCCTTCCGTTCGCGCACCGCAACCTCCGCTGCGCCTCCCGTCTCGCTTGCTCTCGGGCGAGAACTTGCCAGGCTGCACTCTCACCGAGTCAAGGGCACGGTGCACAGCGGTATCGATACAACATGGGGGGACAAGGGGCAAGAGAGCAGGGGGGGGGGGGGGCTACTTGGTCGCGGCAAAGAGGAACTGCATCGAGAGCGTCTTCGAGTCCGGGTCCCAGTGGTCCCACGACATGCCCTCGGTGCCTGCGGGTGCGAGGAGTGGGTCAGTGATGGGGTACTTGGGCGAGAGAGACGAGGGAAGGAGAGGGTGAGAGGGGAGGCGGGCGCACTGTCGATCTCGCGCGCCTGGATCTTGAACGAGATGGTCTGGTACGGCTCGGCTGCGATCTGTGCGCCCATCAGACGCGCGATGATCGCCGTCAGTACCACGCACGAGCGAGCGCAACGGCGAACGAAGAGGGCGACGACGCACGAGGAGGTACTGCCAGTTGCGGTCGGGGACCTCGACTTTTTGCTCGAACGCCGACATGAAGCGGTGTCGTGGCCGAACGCCGTCCTTGATCTCAGGGTAGTGGACCTGGAACAGGAGTCCAAGCTGGCCCGTCACCGGATCCCGCACCTTGGTGACCTGTTGGGCGGCGGCGGAGGGAGGGACGAGAATCAGGTCCCGCGCGACGAACGAGCGGGCACGGACGCCGCCGAGAGAGAGAGAGAGAGAGAACGTTGGGCGCACCTGGTACCCGGGCACGCCAATCTTGATGAACGACTTGGTCTGCACCTGGGGCTTTGCCGACTGGGCCGCGAGCTGCTGAGCGTACGCGGCCGGGTCGTGCGCGTCGCGCGCCGCTCGCCGCGCGAGGTTGGTCTGGTGCTTCTTGCCCTGCGTGTGGGCGAGGTACGAGCCCTCGTTGGTGTGGAGCGTAAGGCAAAGCCGGCACTCGAGGCCGCCGAGGTGATTGCGGAGGATGTAGGGGTCCTGCGGGGGCGGGCGTCGCGCGAGGGGGCGACGAGGTCCGGGTCAGCTCAGGCAGACTCGACGCGCCTGAGAGAAGAAGGCTAGGCCAGAGAGAGGCGGGGCGCACCTTTGCGAGGTCGATGGTCTCGAGGGCGAGCTTGCGCAGGCGCTCGCGACGGTCGATGGCGGCCTCATCGGCGCGGGCGACACCACCGCCGCCAAACTTGCTGCCGACGCGGTTCTGTGTGCGTGGAGTGGCTTGATCAGGCCGAGCTGAGAGAGAGGGAGGGACCGAGGTGGCGATGAGGACGGACCTGGAAGTCTGCGGGTGCGAGGAGGGTGTCAGTGCGGGTGCCTGTGAGTGGAGAGTGCTAGTCGAGGGTTGTGGGCGAGGCTGAGGGTCTGGCTGGCCCTGCTCGTGGCCGTGCCGAGGCAGTTGAACGCCAGGTCGAGATGAGGAGGTCGACGAGGGCGAGGTGGACGGGGGCAAGGCGAGGCGCGCTCGCTCGTGGGTGAGGAGGTAGGGGAGAGAGTGGACTGACCCATCGAGTGCAAGCAGGCGAGGCACAGAGAGAGGTTGAGCGAGGTCGGGTTCGGAGCTCCGTCGTCGTCTCGCCGTCGTCGCTGCCGAATCGCCAGACTGCCGCCTCTCTCTCACCCGCAACAACGACCACCATGGCCGGCGGTGCAGGCCTCGCCGTCCGTCCAGCCCTCCACACCGGCAGCCGCTGGGTAGGCCGCTCGGCCGTCCTGCCCAACAACCCCTCGGCGCCGCAGTGGCTCCGCTGGCTCGTCCTCACCGCCCCCTTGTTCGGCCTCCAGCTCGTGTGGAGCTGCGAGATGGCTCAAGGTCCGTCCCCCTTTGCCTCGCCCCCACCCCATCCCCTGCACCTGCGCTGACCTAGTCCTCCTTCCTTCCTTCCCTTCCTTCCCTTCCTCCTCCCCCACCTCCCCACCGACACGCGCTCACAACACCCGCCACAGCGTCGCCCTTCCTCCTGTCGCTCGGCGTCTCGAAATCCATGATGAGCATCGTCTTCCTCGCCGGCCCGCTCTCGGGCCTCATCGTCCAGCCCCTCGTCGGCGTCCTCTCGGACCGCTGCAAGAGCACCCTCGGACGCCGCAGGCCCTTCATCGTCGCCGGCTGCGCGTGCTCGAGCCTGTCGGTCCTCATGCTCGGCTGGAGCAAAGAGATTGCCGCCGTCTTTGCCGACGACGGCACGACTTTGGTACGCCCCCTCGTCCGCCCTCGAGCGACGACGCCGACTGACTCTTTCTCCCTCGCCGCACACACGCAGCACAACCACCTCGCCATCGCCTGCGCCGTCATCTCGGTCTACTTCATGTCCGTCCCCGGCCCCCTACCGTCCTCTCTCGTGCGCGCCCAAGCCCTCGAGCTGACCAGCCCCACACCCACGAGCAGCGACTTTAGCGTCAACGTGATCCAGGCCATGGACCGCTCGCTCCTCGTCGACGTCGTGCCGCCCGCACAGCAGCCGGCCGTCAACGCGTGGGCCGGGCGCATGTTTGGCTTTGGCGGTGCGTCCCCTCCCCCCTTCCGCTCCCTCTCTCTCTCTCTCTCTCTCTCTCTCGCGGCGGAGAACCTGACATCCCTCGAGGGCCCGCCTCGCAGCCGTGTTTGGGTACTGGATCGGCGGCATCGACCTCGTGTGGTGGACCCGAGGGTGGCTCGGCGGCGAGCAGCTCAAGGTGCGCCCGCGCCTCTCTTTCTCTGTCTCTCTCTCCACGACGACACTCGCTCACTCGTTGTTCCCCCTCGCCCACCTCGTGCAGGTCCTCACCATCTTCACGTCGGTCCTCCTCATCGGCACCCACGCCGTCACCGTCACGTGCGTCCGCGAGCGCATCCTCATCTCGCGCGCCGGCGACGACGCCGACGGCGGCGGCTCGGGTTCGTCGTCGGGCGCCCTGCGCGCGCTCGCCGACGTGTGGCACACGATCCGGCACCTCCCGCGCCCGATCCAGCAAGTGTTCAACGTCCAGTTCTCGGGCTGGATCGGGTGGTTCCCCGTCCTGTTTTTCTCGACGACCTGGGTCGCAGAGATGTACGTCAAGACGCGGTGGGAGGGGGGAGGACCGGGTTCCGAGCTCAAGGACGCGCCGGAGGACGTGAGGGAGAGGGCGACGAGGGCGGGCACGCACGCCATGCTGTGGCACTCGGTCGTGAGCCTCGCGACGTCGATCGTGCTCCCGCCGCTCGTCGCCGCCAGCAGCAGCAACAGCACCTCGTCGCAGCACGACCAACGCCCATCCTCCTCCTCGCGCCGACCCACCACGTCGACCTCGCCCCTCGTCGCACGCGCCAAGGCGCTCCTCGTGCCCCCGCGCATCCCGTTCGACTGGCTCTCGCTCCCGCTCCTGTGGGCCCTGTCCAACACGCTCTTCTCGCTCCTCCTGTTCGGCACCCTGTTTGCGACGACTGTCGAGGGCGCGAGCTTTATCGTCGCGAGCGCCGGGTTCGCGTGGGCCGTCACCAACTGGGCGCCGTTTGCGTTGGTGCGTCGCGACTTTTCTCTTTCTTCCTCCCTCCCTCCCTCTCTCCCTCTCTACCTCTCTCCCTCTCTCCCTCTCTCCCTCTCTCCCTCTCTCCCTCTCTCCCTATCTCCGTCACTCGGAGCCCTCTCGGGCCTCTGGGCACCTGGGCTACTGGGCCCCTAGGTCACCTTGACCCCGGCCGCCCCGCCGAACGGAGGCCTCTGGTTCCGCTCGTCCAACTCGTCGCCTCGCGGGCTCGACGACGCGCGGAGCCGCGAACTCAACAGGTCCACAACGCAACAAGGCAGCGAGAGGACGAGCGAACGGGCGGACGAGCGGTCTCGGCGATCCACGGAGCCGCCGCGCCCCAGCGCGCTGCGACTTTTGACGGCTCGA